ACCTTTTTCCTGCTTTTTTTTGATTAGTGCTTCATTGGCCACCTCTTCTAGCAAACGTGACCCCTGAAACCTGCCGTCTTTAAAGTCAGTGCTTTTATCCAAGCCCGAAGAATATGGGGAATATGGGACCAACTTACCGTCCCCGTAGAAGGCTTGGTTGGTTCGGGTGGGGACCGATCTGTTATCCGGACCCCTGCACGTGGTGAGCTTTCAGCAGAGTTCTACTGTTAATCTGCCAACAGCGTTTCGAGAAGCGGAGGTGGTGTCACTACAACACCTTCGCCTGTTAAAGCGCTATTTGCAGATTAACAGCAGAAATTAGTGTAGAAGAAGAGAAATCAATCCAACAGAGTTGGGTCTATAAGAAGAATTTAAATCTCCATAAAATACCAGTTGGCTGCCGGCTTGCGCCGTCGTGCCTCCTTCTGTGATACGGCCCGGCTTCGTCAAGCGGGCGCGGCTTGAAAGCGCGCACTTTTTTTTACATGTTTGGACATTCAACAATTATCCGGCTTTTATTTCACCTGTACACATTGTCAACACTCCTTGACCAATAACATCATACCTGCTACTTTCAACACTATTACCGTCTATGAAATGGTGGTAAGCAGCGTTGATCAAGTGCGCAGATGAGAGAAAAGCCGTATATCAGTTGAGCATTCAAAAATAGGGAAGCAGGTAGGTGCGACGGTCCAAAGCAAAACCGGCAAAGCCCCTTAAAGAAGTTGCACCTGCGTCAGCCAACCGACTGGTATCAAATAAAATTGTAGCGACAGGTGTTCAATAGTATGGAGGCCTTTGCACTAAAACGCAGTGAAAATAGGTGTCTCGTGTTTGAGACACGCTCCACCCACTGTGGAATCAACATACCACACCCAAGTCTCGCTATATTTTTGTGTTCTCCAACAGTGATCCAAACCACGAAATTTTGCAGCAAGCACCGCCGCCGCGTAAATCTCGCTTCAACAGCAAAGCTCTGGCACTTCTTTTGCCTTTTGCCGGCATCTGGAGTCTGTTCTGGAACCATTTTACAGATTTCTGGACTCCGTCCACCTCGCCGCACGCTCCGCCCACAATTGATGTGTCTTGCACTCCCAAACTGTGACACCTCGCTTACCCCAGTCCACTTTTCTCCAGTGTCTGAAGTGCTCTGAGATCGTCCCACAGATTTTTAAGCTCGGCTCCGCCCCGCCGTACGCTCCGCCTGTAAAGAATGTGTTCCGCATCGGCCGGTGATCCCTCTTGAACACTATCACTTTGAAGCGGTGTCTGGAGTGCTCGGGAACCAGTTGCAGAGTTTTTGTCTAGCTCCGCCATCCTCAGAGCAGTCTCCGTCCAGAAGTGACACTCCTCGCCGGCGGCCCCTTTGCTGACCTTAACCCACTTTTTCTAGTCTTTGGAGTGCTCTGGGACCGTTTCAAAGACATTCTTTTTCGGGATAAGCTCACCACAGCGCAGGATGCGTGCGGCGAGGTGGGTGGGGCCAATGCAGAAATCTGAAAAATGGTTCCAGAACAGACTCCAGACACCGGCAAAAGGCGAGCAAAGATGTGCAGGAGCTCCGCTATAGAAGCGAGATTTACGCGCCCATTGTGTGCGGAGCTGTGTCGATGTGGGAGGGCGAAGGTCCAAAATTTAATCAGTTGTAGAGCAACAAAGGCAGTGAAGAGAGAATGGATTAAAGACAGCCCCCGCGCTCAAGTTGTACATGGTCGTCCTTCCTTGTGCAAGTAGTACAGCCCCCAAGCTAGAGACTATCCCACTCTCGCGACTCCACAGCGAGCGAGGAGCGAGCTACAGCCGCTGAAAGTTCTAGTTCTAACGCCCGCTCAGTTGGACCGCCCACTTGCTAGATGCCCTCTGACGGAGAGCCGCTCAGTTGTTCTTTGTTGGGGCGGCGGGCATTAATCGGAATTGCATGTCCTTTTTGCTGACCGCGCTCGTGCCAATGAATGTCTGCTCTCCTTCATTACATTTTATTCATTAGGAGCACATGCAGTCAAGTCCAACTCATCTCGCAAGGTAAAACGCCTAGAAATCACGAGCGACCCAATTCGCGGGTGAAAAGTCGACGCACTACACTAAAAGATGCACGCTACCGTAACCCTAAATTCGAACGGCGAGTTTTTAAAGTTTCTTTTCCTTTTCAAGAGTTTTCATCCGTGTTTTTGTTGTTTTCCGTATTCTTTTCTTGCATTGGATGATATCCACTACTGGGAGATGTGATAAAGGGATTTGCGAGCCAGGGGTTGCATAGCGACCGCAGCGCGGTGTGACTGTCAGGGAGCGATTTTGTTTGTGGTGTTCTTGAGGACTCTTCTTGTTTTTTTTTTCTTTGGGGAATTACTTATCAGCTACTGTTTCATAATAGGAAAGCAATTATCCATGACATTTTAATCGCGGGAGCTGCCTCTAAGGGGCTAGCGGACGAAATGGGGGAGATATCTCAAAAATGGGCTGGCTGCTTTCGTGATGAGCGGTGCTTGCTAGAGAATTTCGTGGTTCGGATCTGAAGAGCTTGGAGATCAGGGAAAATTGCTGGAGGAGAGAAATTTGTAGCGAGAACTGAGTATGTCTGTGGTGTCTATGGTTGAGCCGCCAGTGGGTGGAGAGCGTCCTTGAGCACGAGGTTTTTAGCGTATAGGCTGTCATACTCCTGAACACATGTCGTCACAGGTACATACGATTCCTGTCGGTTCGCTGGCTTACAACGGTGCGACTCTCTAATATGGCCAGGCCAGGCTTTGCCGGTTCTATCTTACACGTATTTAGTACTCACACCTGTTATATCCTCCTCTCATTTTTCGTGTACAATTCCTTCTCATCTTTATTGCATGAATTTTGCATGTCAACTTTTTTACATTTTTTCTCGTTTTATCCTATTTCTTAACTCCTTCCCCTATGTAGTCCATGTCCATGTCGTCAACCCTGTCGCACTGAAGAGCCCGGGGGTTGGTAAGACATCGATGATTCGTCTGCGATAACGGGCGAAACGGATCATCTGTGCTTTGGAGTGTATTCCTTTCCCCAATGTTTGTTTTTCTTTGTTTCTAATTTGCTTTGTCGCGCCTACCTGCTTCCGTATGTTTGAATGCTCATTTAATACCCGGCTTTTCTCTGATCTGCGCACTTGATCAACACTGCTTACCACCATTTCATAGACGGTAATAGTGTTGAAAGTAGCAGGTATGATGTTATTGGTCAAGGAGTGTTGACAATGTGTACAGGTGAAATAAAAGCCGGATAATTGTTGAATGTCCAAACATGTAAAAAAAAAGTGCGCGCTTTCAAGCCGCGCCCGCTTGACGAAGCCGGGCCGTATCACAGAAGGAGGCACGACGGCGCAAGCCGGCAGCCGACTGGTCCTGTCACAATTCCAGGCAAACTATGAATGGAACAGGTAAGAATCGGGGGTATTCTGCAGCAAGGGAACGAGTGCAAGAACTCTAAGCTCGGATAACTTTACGACAAGAGAAAATGCATAAAAGGTTGATGGCCAACGCCTCATTGGGCATTCATGACAAAGCGCAAATCCCACCCCTTTCATGAACGGCAAATTACCACCTGAATTCCCTCTGCATCAAACTGTTCTGCCGTCAATACCCAAGTTGCTGCCCGTCATAGAGCGACAAGAACCTATTTCCTGATTGGTGAACCGTCGTGGGAGAAATCAGTGCAGTTAAAAGGCTGAGGTTGAGTTTCAGAGCTCTGCGTACAACAGAAACGATTAAACTATGAACGAGAAATAACTTTTTCTCGACCCTACCTATAATAAAAAGCCAAGGATATTACATCCGATTTATTAACTTCAAACGAAACCTTCAACAAACGCACCTTTACTTCACCAATCTCGTTGACAGCTATATTCGATGGTTTCAAATCTCTGTGCACAATTCCGGCCGAGTGGATATACTGAAATAAAATTAAAAAAGATTACGAGAATGAACAGAACTGATAAAAGTTACCTTTAGACCTCTTAGAACTTGGTACATCAAGGCTTGAATCTGATCATTTGTTAAACGTTGAATTTTCAAAATATTCTGCAGATCTGAGCCCATTAAAACGGAAACAAAATACCTGGCATTCCTCTGTATCAGATGAGCGATGAAACATAGTTAGAAACATAAGTAGGAAAAGTAACTAACACATTGTTCAACGACGCCACGTCTGTATCTGGTGTAAACACATCAATCATTTCCAGAACATTCGGGTGCTTGAGAGTACGAAGTAATTTGAGTTCCCTAATTACAAGAAAATCTTGTGCTTATTTCGAGTGCTTAAGTAAGTGTCGGTGACCAGAACAGTATCAAAACTGACCTATAAGTTCTTTTGGCATGTATAGTGCTCTGGAATGGCCGAAAAAACTTCTTGACAGCTACCCTCTCACCAGTGCGTAGATCTTCAGCAGTGCTGAAGTAAAAGCTTTCAGACTAGATGCACCAAAATAACATGATTGAGGTACACTGCATTCAAAAGAGAAAGAGCTAGATTGAGCGCAAGTCAGCGCAGAGAATGTGGGCTTTTGACGACAAACTGCTCACTCACCTTTTAGGGTGATCATTATCATGTGCGAGGTGAATGGTTCCGCCCGCGGCTGCAGCGCGCCAATTTCTCCGCTCAAAAGTGGGTACGGGGCTGAAGGGCAGAGACAGCCGAGTAGCTTCTTCACACACTGCGCTTGCTATCCTCATTACGCGAAATGTGCAGCCAGCGGTAGAGAACAACCAGAAGTGAGAGGGCTCAGACAAGTAGCCGTTTGACTACGGTCGGGCATGTGGCTCGCCGTGTGGCAGCGCTAGTGGAGTATAGACAGAGTGCTCAGGTATCACCACCCCCCGCCTTGTTTCCGTGCACCCTTGACTAGTGAATGTGACATGCTACTGCATGTGCGATCCTGTTCACCTCACACCGGCAAAGACCACCCACAGAAGTGAGTGTATAGCTTGGCTTTGTAGGACTTCTGCAAAACTATGATACCGCGACGGAGATGGAGAGTTTTGTCTAAGCCTTTGAAGAGGTGATTCTGCTCTACATTAATTTTAGCTCTGCGCAAAAATAATTCTCATTTCTCTTTATAAATAATAATTTCTGAAACTCTTTTCAGTTTTCCCACCCTTCTTCCCCGCTTGGACGATTAGACCTTTGGATAACGTCAGAACAGGTGCTTACCATACAACTCCATATGCGCCCTCTCCCAAGGTGCGTAATCGATCGTATGCTTTCGGAATAACCCATCTGGTCTTGTTCAGCTCTACCTTCAAGTAAATGAATTGGAATTCAAAAAACTTTTTTTAGGTTCACATATCCACCAATTTGAAGCATGCGGCTCAAGTGAACGTTTAAAAACCAAAGACATATTATGTGGACTGAACGAATTCCTGAAGGTCAAACTTCACCTCATGGAATCCTTCAGGAGGAGGGCGCTCTGGTGGTGGTGGTCCGAAATTGGCGAAGAAGACACCCGGCTCGGCCGAAGTCATTGGTCTGCGCCTTGGACAATTCATCAAGACCAAGGATGCCAGCACGAATCGATCAGTTTGGTTCAGAAAAACTGGAGCACACCTTTAGCACTGGCCAGAGCTCAACGATTCTCGACATTCTTTTCACGAACTGCAGAATAACCTCGACTAAAACAATGGAAAGTCAAACTTTCAAAGACGCATCAGAAGTAAGCGGGTACGACTTTCAAGTAAGCAACATATGAAAAAACCATTTTTTGGGGAAAAAGACACCTAAATAAGCTATTGTTTACGAATTGAGAAATTATAGTTTCTATTATAGTTTCTATAATGACGAGGAGACATTACAAATTGCTCTCATAAATGGATATAGTGGAGATTCCACTAAACAAGTCGGCTGTGAAGGTAGGACCCAAAACAAACCTGACTCTGGGCGTTTCTACGACCACATCATTTTCTTTTTGTCGGCATTCCTTTACAAGTACGTACCAAACAATAAAATGAATGGCACGTTTGTCAACTGAACAGCCCAGGGTTTGTTTTGATTCTTACTGCATTTAATAGTACCTATATCGATCTAGCTAAAGTAAATTTAAACAAATAACCCCACATTTGCTATGATGAGTCATGAGTTACCTCATGTAATAAATGTACATATGATAGCGGCTCACTTTTCTGTTTGTCACTTGCTGTGAAACGACTGACTACAAGGAGAATCGCGGAATAAGGCAGCGCACATACTTTGCAACCTGTGAATAGACGAATCGACGATTTAACGTTTTGGAAGAACGCACGTTTCCCCTAGTCGCCATCTATTCTCTGAAGAGTCATATTGACCTCCACACTGCGCTTGGCGTGCATTCATCTGAATTCTTTTGTTAATATTCTGTACTATTTACCCATTAGTGCCCGAATCATGCGAAATTAGGCCAGCCACAGGCGCCCGCGCCAAAATACTCTAGTAACAAAATTCGCAGAAAACTTGTTCGCTACGGTAGTTCGACCTCCTGAACACGAGTACTACATCTGTGAGGAATCATGAAAAATAAGGCTGGAGTGAAAGGGGCTGTCTGCTGCTGCTCGACTGCACAGTTCCCCCGAGAATGTGATCCCTTTCCCTGCTAGCGCTGAGTTTAGCAAAGGGAGGGATCACAATATCATAGGCAACAAAGGTGCTATTTTTTCCCACCGTCTCCCTGACTGCCGTAGCTCGACGCTCGGCACCAAACCGACTACAGTCCGTCCTACACGCGCCGGAGTCGAAACAGGCACGTGATGAGTCGTTCGTGACGTATGCATCAGGCGGTTTCAGACTAGATGGATGAGGCATTTGTGCTCAGGAGGTCAAACAATCGCAGCGAACAAATTTTTAGCGAATTCGGTGACTTATGGTATTTTAGTGCCGGCGCCTGTGGCGCAGGCGCCAGTGATTCCTGTGGCAGTCGGATGTGACATTCGTGTTCAGGAAGTCAGACCACTCCTGGGACAGTTTTCGCTAAGGGCAAGTCTGCCTTCGATTAAAGGGATAAAATGGTGGCTATCTATCTGCTACACTCTAGAAGACAGACAATCCACCCAGACTTACGCTTGTTAGTGCGGGTTCTTCCACTGGTCCAGAACTGCGCGATTCTATGAAGACACATGGGTAGCACAAACACATTGAGGGGGTGTATGAGACTATCAGCCCAGATGTGACGTGTCGTGGTCCCCGCGCCCCCCCGTCAAAATGCACGGCGTCAGAGTGAATGGGCCGTGGGAAAATCGTAATTCCTTGCTACACCACAATGAGGAGCCGCGAAGACAGCCATCCGCACCGCGCCCTCCCGACGACCCGTTTTTGCTAACATCCATCCGCAGGCGCAGTCGCGTGCAATCTTGGCTTTTTGCCAAGTCCTGTAATTGCGCTTTGGAATACAAGTACAACGCAATTTCTTTATGCGGATAACATTTTAGGTGCTGCAAAATAAGAACCGAAGATGATGACGAGGGCTAGAACTCAAGAGCAACTGTGGTGCTTCTGCAATATCCCTCAAGGCGCGCATTCCCACAGAACATGACAATAAAAACGGACAACATGACAATAAAACATGACAATACAAGCAAAACGCAATTTCCTAACATTTGAGGTATTGCTCATGCTTCAAAAGTCGACGTAGAATGAGGTGAATGAGATGACCAGGCTTAGATAATGAACAGCAACGAATGTAGATGTAACTAAAAAAAATTGGAAAAAATAAGGAACGTTCACGCATAAATTAAAAATCGCGTGATGCATTTCTCGCAGTTATTTTCGTGTTGCTTTCTTTGAATCCTCTGGCTCTAGAGTGCTTTTATGACAATTACTAATTTTAAAATTATAATGTCATCGCGAGTCTGTCTTGTTTTATTTTGGTTGTCCGCATTTTGTCATTGATTGCTTTTGTGGGAATGCGCGGTCTGCGAGGGCTGTTGCAGAAGCAGCACAGGCTGCTCTTGAGTTCTATTCCTCGTCATCATTTTCAGTTCTTATTTTGCAGAACCCTAAAACGTTTCCGCATAAAGAAATTGCGTTGTACTTGTATTCCAAAGCGCAATTACAGGACTTGGCAAAAAGCCAAGAGAGCTGCACGCGACCGCGCCGCGCGGACGGTGTTAGTAAAAACGTGAGTTTGCAAAAACGGGCGGCGTAGCAAGGAATTACGACTTTCCCACGGTCCCGTACTCTGACCCCGTGCAGTTTTGGGCGGGGGGACCACGACACATCGACAGCTGGGGGCTGATAGTCTCATACACCCTCAATGTGTTTGAGCGTACCATGTGTCTTTCCAAGGCTAGCAACGCAAATATGAACGTAGCCCTCAGCTATGCATATTACGTGCAGCTGAAGCTGTTGCCAACTAAACACATTAACACCTGACGCGCGCAGTGCGACTGGCAAGTCCAGCTGTGCGTTTTGTTGCAGGCCAGACGCTACAAGAAGAACACCAGCTTCAAACGATTGCTTGAAGGTTGCGCGAAACGAAACAGTCTAGCTTCTCATCCTTTCGCCAAGCAATCCTAGTCTCGATGTTTTTCCTTTATCCTTCATCTTCATAAGCTTCAGCGTGTTTCCTTATTAGTTATTATTTCCTTATTTGCACTGCCCAAAGATACTTCGAATATCACACAGTCGTTATCGATAAAGACAATCATCATTAGCGCCGGATTTGATGCTTGCCATAGACAGTTTTCACATCGGTCTATGCTGCGTCACGGGCAGAAAGCCATGCTGAAAGAGAGCTTGACACCGCCCCAAAACTCGCGCTACGCTTACACGTCTCGACTGACTTTGATGGTAGATATGGTGACTACAGCAAACATTCAACGGGAGGTGCGCGTTTTTCAAAGCATTGCCAGCAGCGGAGTTAGTCAGAATATGCAATCTTTTGTCATAAATAGTATTGTCATCGCTCAGAAACAAATATTCCACCTGATATCTATTATAAATGCGATGGCAGAGGTGAAATGAAGGTCTGTATACGCAAAAAATTTCATTGAAAATGGAGGATATCTAACCGTGTAACGATCTACCCCCTTAAGCGGACAGAATGACGCCACAGGGTGACACACCCTCAGATTATGCGCGGCTTGCGGCCATACTTATCAAACTCGTGAATCTGTGCATGGAAAGCTGGCAGCAGGCTGGAAGTATGCTCAGTCCATACGTCGCCTAAGATGGTTCCTTTGCACACCATCTTCCCGTACAAGAAGGCAGATAGAGCACCAGCTACACCGGGCATTAAAGGATTATCATCTGTAGTTCATAAGCTTTCTTGCACAATAGGCAGGTAACTGTGAAACTCGAGCAAGATTAGTACAAACTGCCGTTATTCCCAAAGAAAAAAGTCTTAAGAACGCGCTCAGATTCGTGATCCTGTTGCGGCAGCGCAGCGCTTGACGGAAGAGCCAGGGTACATCATTGGTTGGGGATTTTAGTCGACTCTATACGACCCCCCCCCTTTTTTTGGGAGTTAGTACGACGCCGTCGAGCGGGGGGGGGTAGGGAGGGGTCAACCGCCACTCCCACAACGCCAAAACGTAAATACGACCCCCCCCTCCCAAAAATGATCAAATACGACCCCCCCTCCCTTTACAACGTCCATGAAGCGAGAAAAATCAACTATCAAAATAAATTTTTCTCAGCCCAAATACGACCCCCCTACTGGGGATTTCCCAACAACGATGTGTCCTGGGAGGAGCGCCAAGCGGTCGTGGTCGCACGATCCAATCAAGGCATCCAGTCACGCGATCGCGAAATCTGAACGCGGTCTAAGCGAAAGATTGAGCACTTACATGAGAGAGCAGCAAGCACACAAACACATGAAAGTGCTGTCAAGGTTTAAAACAGGTGGGGGGAGGGGGAATGGGAGGGGCCACCCACACTTTGGTCGCCTGGGCTCTGCTTTGAAGAAGAAGGAAAGTCTCGAATAGAAGGGCGAACTTCACTTCCGCCGTTACGTGTCCACGTTAATTACGGTATCCCGTTTCTAGATATATATAGATTTTTCAATCAATCCCTTTCCAGTGGTGTACCCGAAGAGGCAAACTCATAGGCCTACTCACCCACTCTGCATGATATCCAGCAACAAGGATGTCACGACTTTTTCCAGTTTTCAATGTACCTTAGGCCGCGCTGATAAGTTGCGACTGGGGAGAGTCGGCGGTTTGCGAAATAAGGCAATTCGAGAGATTGCACGATGAAACTATAGTGTAAGTCTGGCACC